GCCTTATTCTTTGCATTGGAATCAAGTCAAGAGCTTTCTCTTTTCCATTTAGAAAACGAATTCGAAGGTTTTCGGTCCTGAAAAAAAATGTTTACATAGTAAATTAAAATAAACAATTGAAGAGTAAATACAATTTTCAAAATAAATAATTACTAGTAATACTTGTGACTTTCTTTGTTAGAGCTGTAAGAATGTTTTGTAAAGTATTATCGACATTTAGCTTTTCTGAGAGTACAGCTCTCTGAGTTTTTAAGGTTAAAGATTCATCTGACTGCTTTGTTCTTTTTTATTTGAGAATTATTCCAGTACTTTCACGTATTTTTTTTATCTTCACAACATACTTTTCCATTTTCTCTGAATATGAAACAAGAGTTGTAAAACTTATGAATAGTTGCTTTTTTAAATGATTTAATAAAAAATGACTGACGCTGAGGATCGAATCAAAAAATAGTCATATGTTATAAAGTTATCATTTCTTCTTTGTCTAGCTAAGTGTAATTTTTAACAAAAGCCATTATGGTCAGCTGATGACAAGTATTTTTAAATAGAACGGGCTTTCATTGCAAAGAGACAGTCATATCAGTCATGGGCTGTCTTGTACGGGTTTTAAACTATGTTAACTGAGTCATTACGCGGCAAAGTTGTACCACTCAACTAACTAAAAATAAAACCGCGAAATTCAAACTTTATTATCAGTATCAGGTATTTTTATTACCTAAATTTTTTATTTGTGTAATATTTGTCAACACTTGTGTTAAATCTAGTACATAATGAGAAATAATTCTATCCCTTAATACTACATAAATATAATGATTAATATATAAAAATACATTGTCGAGCTTGGTGGATTTTTTAATGCTTTTGGTTGTTGGGTTATTAGTACATTTACAACTGCTTCCTTCTTTTTTTTTATGTATGCGCAATATATTTTTACGAATCAAAATAAATAAAACAAATGCAAGAATAAAATTCAACTTGCCGAATCCAAATTCATAGTATAACATATTCTATCAAAATCTTACAATTACGAATATAACTTATTTATATACCACTTAGAGTAAAGAAAAATGCATAAATTTTGTAAAATCAAATATCCAAGTGTACGAATAAGCACGTGCATGCATTTTAAGTACATAGCATCGAATTGATCGGTCATATGAATTTTCACTCGACAAGGGTGCGTAAATATCATTGCGATTTTTTTCAGCTTACGGCTTGCGCACTTCACTTCTTCATATCACCAACCTCGAATGACGTTTTTGTTAGCTACATTGACCTTCTCCTAGCCACTCTGTCAAATTAAGTACTCACCCATTTGATCCTCCTCGTTCCTGGCTGTCTCAAACTTTTTTGCTAGACCTTTGTCCTTAGTTATCTAGACTTTCTCACACGACACAAATCAAATTACAACACGAATCACGAATTAAGATTTTAATAGTTTTTTTTTTCGTAAAATTTTGGGCTGCGGTAGCATGATCTGGAACCTGGGCCAATAACCTGTTGAGTAAAGAAGAACACACGGCGCATATATATGTATTGATAAAAGGTGACTTATGCGGACATTATTGGGTAACAAAAATCATCGTAGAAACGAAATTGTACTTATGCGGACGATCTGCATAACTTTTTTATATAATTTTTACATATCCTACAAGCACGTAGAGTCTGCATAAGCCACCCAACATAAAGATATATATGAAGCATTTTATATCAAACTATACAGTATCAAAAATGTTTGGTGAAAAAGAATGGTAATCGATTGTACTAGAACTCATCTTAAATTTAAGCCTCCTAGAGTCATACAACTAGGATCAGTGGCGGTTTAAAAATTTAAATTTTCGTTTAAGGGCCAAGCTTGTGAAATTTTTTAGCATAATAGATTTTCACTACATACAATATGAACATGATTTTGTATATTTTTCTGCTAAATAATGCAAGTTTCGGTGCTAGTGGCGGTTAAAGTGAAAATAACCGTATTTAAGCACTTTTTTCTAACACATCAAATTTTTTTTTAGCGGTGAATCCAATATGGTGGGCCAAAATTCGAAATTCAACGAATTTCGCTACGAAAACATTTTTTTTGTATGCAACGTTGAATTATAAGAAAAAAATGTCTCCCATAATTTTCTGTTACTGTGCATTGTTTTTGAGCAAAAAACTAATGAAATTTGAAAAGTCATGAAATCGCGTCTGAGATGGACTTTACACAATAAAGTGCTGGAATAATTATATTAACTATCGATTTAATGCAATAAAATAACTTTTTTCTTATCCGTTGTTACGTGACGTCAACTTTTAGATCCAACACGCTAATGTGATGAGTGAAGTTGTGGGATACCACCCTTGGGAGTACAGACAGAAGACTTGGGCAGTAGCCGAGTTGGGTCCCGGAGAATTTATGACGTCACTTTATAGCCGAGTTGGGTCCCTGGCATTTTATCAAACAGCCGAGTTGGGTCTTGGTTCTTAAAGAGGCTCCATCGCCTACTGCAGTAGTCAATTCAGTGACGATCGATGCGATGTCACTAGACGAAAGCTTCCTTTTATACTAGTAGTATGTTGGTAATGAAGTTTGTTTTATTTTCAACTGAATCCACCTGCTATTATATATAGTTTACTACACATTTATACAGTCAGCTGTCGAATATTTTAATATTAATGATTGCCATAATTTACTGCGTTATTACCCAACAAATGAAAATTGAAAAATCATAAAAGTTTTCATGTTATTATTCAAATTCAAATTTTTTTATTGCGCGCGCTCCCTAAACTAATATGGCTGGCAGTGTTTGTCACTGCACTCACCGAACGTAACTGCAGGCCAAAATAGTATTTTAGCTATTTTATCAATTTTTTCATCGCCAACGCCTATAAAGTCACCCGGTTTCTTAAAGATGAGAATGTCAGGGTTACAGTAAGTATATTTTATTTGCTTATACATTCCATTTTAGTAGTTTAATTGATAGTCAAAAGTTTGCTTCAGACCTTCGGCCATAAGAGACTGTGTTAAGCGAGCTCGAAAAGTGCTGACTTTGTATTAAATTATCTCTGGATTTTGATCGCCAACCCATAAAAATAAAGATACCATTGGATTCAGCGCGATCTCAACTTAAATAATATATCTGTCAAAGTTCTTGTACATTCCGTGATGGAGCCTCCTTAAGTGGACTTCTGACTTATTAGTTTCTAATTAAGAGTTTATAAACACGACAGTTTTTCCGTTACACCCCAGGTTTTGGTCTTTACACTATGCTTGCGATAGAATTAAATATTATATTGCTTAAGTTTTGTGTCAGTGAAAAAAATACAACGTTACTAAAATTAGAAAATTTTACATTTAGATTTCATAAAAATTTAAAAGATGGTATAGAACGGTGGAAGTGTTCAGTGTCATCCTGTAATAGTTACTTAAAAATTACCTCTCAAAAGATCGTACAAAATCCTACGGTACATAATCATGCATACATCGACGAGTCCATGATAAATAGGTGGCTTGTAAGTAATTTTCTGAAATAAAAAGCGTTCGACGATATTTCTACTCGCCCATCGAAATTGTTGTGTAATATTTTAAAACATAGTGATGTACCTACATTAACGGTTCAAGATACTGCCATGATTAGAAAGAATATCGAAGTTGCAGGCGTGGTACATTTTTTAAATTACCACAATCTATTTTAGAGTTCCATGAGACTTTAGACAACTTAGAGATACTTACTGATAAATAAGAAATATTTTTACTAGTGAATAATGACAAATCACATATTGTTTTATTTTCAACAACCAGTAACTTAACGCTAATGTCTTAACTATAATCCTTGTTTGTCGAAAGTACTTTCTACAGTTACCCTAAACATTTTTGTCAAGCTTTCACGGTTCACGGTTCGCACAATAATATTTGCATACCACTGGCTTTTTTTGTTCTTTCCGACAAAAAAACAAACTCTTATGAAAAATCATTTTCATTTGTAAAATCTGAATGTGACAAACTTAATTTGGTATTTAATCCGACGCACATCTTTGCAGATTTCCAATTAACAATTCCTTCAGGTATACAAAAACAGTTACCAATAGGGGACCGAGTTCGGCATTTTTCTTATCTTGGAACCCAACTCGGCATCAGCTAGACTTGGCACTGTGGCACACTAATAGGCTCTTGTGGACCTGACATATTATCAAGCCAATCACAGTGCTGAGCTAGAGAGAGGCAGAAGAAACTATCAGGAATAAATATCTTTTGTTTCGTTTATCGCTGTCACTCCCACGCAGTATACCCCTTATTCACTCTGTGCACATAATGTATATGGGAATCCATCGTTTTTATTGGGTTGATTTATTTCGAAAGTACTTTTCCAAACAGACATCTTGTTAATTTTAGGAAATAACTAACAATAGAACTGGCTGAAAATTTTTGGAACGATTATGTGGCTGATTGCTTCAAATTAATGCCATAATTTTAGAACTGACCCAGAGTTTATTAAATGTATTTGAAAACAGAGCCACAGAATGATTGGAGAGATAAAGCGAACGGATAACCAACTAAATAATAACAATGTACAAAAAAAGATGTAGGACTTCTTTTGGATGATTAACTTGTGAGCGTACCCGGGTACGCAAGCAATTTTTATTCAAATGTTCCGAATAGAAAATTCATGGCACGCCAGAATCTATAGCTATAAATATACCAACAAATATGTGGTTTCCATTGTGCTGTTTATGTATATAGGTATAACTTTGATGACTACGTTTTATCTACAGTTATAGACCATGCGTTTTTTTATCTCGTGCAGTCCCATTTGAGTAAAACATGTGTTAGTTACAAGAGCAAAGCAATGATAACCTACTGTTATGCACATTAGTACTAGCATATTTGGAGCTGTTTTTCCAATTTTACGGTATCATAGATTATAAAAAGACCTTTTTTGTAAATAAAAAAGCTATTTTTATATGCATCACGTAAATTTCCAGTTTTCTTAATGGATAATATTCAATTTTATTTTCAGAAAGCGATAATACAACATCAGTCACAACATGCTGCACAAAGTAAGTACGTCAAGGATGTAAAGTTTTTAAATAAAATTAGAAGAAAGTAATATATGAAAATGTGTAAAACGGATTCTCGTAAAAAATTCACATTTGCATGAATTTCAAAGTTTTTCCATGACAATATACTTAATAAACAAGTACAACGATTTTTTTAAATTTGAATGATTTGACTCTTCTTCTCTTTCTTCAAACTAATGTGGTATTTTGACTTATATTTTTTAGTATGGGTAAGAATTTAAACTGGTATATTTTACAAAATCAAGTTTAGTAGGTATTTATAAAAAATCATAGACTTGCCATTTAGAACCTTTAAGTTTTTCAACCATTCAAAATGCATAAGGTGCAAAATAACATAATTTATTTATATTTTTACTTTTACAAAGGCAACGTTATAGTAAACGCTCTTGGGAATAAAATTTTAAAGAATTTCAAGTATGAATAATGCTAATCTCACTTACTTGCTGTTACTATACCCAGCTTTGAAACTTTCTTAGCTTGATGCAGTGCACTGAAATATTGTTCATAGGCTAGTAGAAACAAAAAGACTCGCTTGATGTAATAATTTATAAAACATCTAATGTTTCTTAGTGTAAATTTATAATTTTAATAGTTATGTACTCCGTAAATACTTTTTATTTTTGAGAATTGTTCCTCACCAGAACTTTGCTACTCATATTTTTACCAATCTTTAAAATTATTAAAAATACTACCAATAGTGAGCAGAAAATCATGTTTCATCACATAATTTAATTTGTATACACTAATGATGCACTCTAAAATAACATAATTTTAATAAATTTTCTGTATTAGGATCTGTTTGTCTATTTTTTAGTAATTGTAATCAACTTAACAGTTTTCATTACATTTTTTAAAAATAAGGCAATGTACGTATAGTTATCTAAGTTTGTTTGTTATCATTTTTATAAAAAATTTTGACACATTTTTAAGCAGTAGCGGGCCTTCTTGCGGGACATATGGTGCACACACACACACACATACACGCGCACAATAGTAGGGCTCTATCCTTAGCTTGCTTTATTGCGTGCCTCCTTCCCATTGTACGATTTAAGGTTATGAAATATAAAGAACGAGAAGAGTTCCGTTGTGGATGCGAGAGAGAGCGGACGTGTCGAGTGAGTGCTCCGGAGAATAGAATATAAAGAAGGTATTAAAACAAAAATAAAAGAAAATAAAAGTACAAATAAGTGTAGAAAGTGGAAAAATAGCAGAGAAGAAAGTGTAAAGTAAACAAATATAAGAAATTAAAAGGATAAAGTGAGATAAGTGAGGTCGTGTCAGTGGAAAGGAAAAGGTACACGTGAAGGATAAAGAGTAGCGAGTAAAGAAGAAGGCAGATCATAAAAGAAGGTGATAGTGAACGGAAAAACGAGTGACAAAAAGACAGGAAAACAGTGTTAAAGTAAAGGTGGTGAGTTGAGAAAAAGTAAAAAAGTGCAGTGAAGTGCGAGAGAAAAGTGAGGTTATTAAAATATAGAAAAGAGGAAGCGGTGACTTGAAAAAGAGGTCGATAAAAATGGGGCAAGCTGAGAGGTAGATAAGGAAGGTCCCTGGCCAAATAAAATAGCGATAAATAAAGAAGAAGAGATTAGAGGTTAACAAAATTAGGGGGCGATAAGGAAGATTTCTGGAAGATCTACATAAGATAAAAGGATAGATTAATAAAGAGATCAATAAGAAAGATTCCTACAGTACCAATTAAGGTCGTTAAATAGGATTTATGATGGATCGACGTGGAAAATTTGGTACAGAAGAAACCTGTGATATTGACAAGAACCTGAAAATGGCCGGGAAAGTGACGGGTGTAAACGTAAACACAAGAAGTAATGCAAATGTGAAACCAAAGGAGCAGTCTACTAAACTTCACAAAAGAAAGTCAAGAGAATAAAGACTTAAACGATAAGTTGAGTAGATTGGAAAATAAGTTTAACAGTATGATTAGTATTCTAGAAAGAAGAGAAGAAGATTGGAAAGAGGAAAAACAGATGTGGATAAAAGAGAGACATCAGCAGACAGAAGAAAAGAAGGCACTAGAAGAAAGAATAAGAAAGTTGGAATGGAAAAAAGAAAAAGATGAGAGAGAAAAAAGGAGACCGAACATTGTGATCAAAGGAGCAAAGATTGAAAGAGAGAATCTGGAAAAAAATGTGGAAGAATTCATTGAACAAAAGATCAAAGTGAAAGTAACAGTAGAGAAAGCTACAGAAATAAGTGTGAACGCTGGGCAAAATGTAAGGAAGATAGTTGCAGTAAGGTTGCTAAACAAAGAAAAGAAAGAAGAAGTAATGAGGAATAAGCAATATATGGAGAGAGGAGTTTACATAGATAGCTATTAAACAGAGAAAGAAAGAGAGATTCAAAGAACTATTTTAAAGAGCAGAGGAGTAAAGAAAATAATACAAAAATTGGGTATATGAAGATGATGGTCGACGGTAAGTGATTTGGGTATGATGAACGGAAAGAAGAGTTCACTGAAGAATGAAGCAGGAGGCAAGAATGAAGAAAACAAGAAAATAGAGAGGAAGAGGGAGTGAGAAGAAGAAATGTCAGTACTTATGCGTGGAACGTTGCGGGAGTATTAAATAAGGACAGTGAAGTGTGGAAGGACTTGACTGGTTTTGATATAATAGTGTTAGTAGAAACGTGGTTAGAGCAGGACAAGTGGACTAGTGTAGAAAGTGAGTTGTCAAAAAGTTTTGAGTGGAAGTGTATAGCAGCGATAAAAAAACATGAAAAAAGTAGAGCGAAAGGAGAAATAATATTAGGAATAAGTAAAAAGATGGAAAGCAGAAAATACGAAATATGGAGCGATAATATAATAATGCAAAAGATAAAATACAGAAATTAAGAGTGGAAAATCATAGGAGTATTCAGTCAAAACGTAGAAGGGACGATGAAAATTATGAAAGAGAAAGTAAAAACGAAGGAAAGAGGAAGTGTACTAATACTGGGAGATTGGAATACCAGAACCGGGAGAGAAGGAGGATGGAATAATAAAACGGATGACGACAAGGAAATAAAGGTAAGAAAGTCAAAAGACGAGAAGATAAATGAGGAAGGGAGAAGACTAATAAAAGAAACAACAAAAGAAGGATGGTGTATAATAAATGGGCAAAAAGGAGAAGAAGGAGAATTCACATACGTTGGCAGCAGAGGGGAATCGGTAATAGATTATGCAATTGGGAATCAAGAAGCCTTATATCAGGTAATAGAAATGAAGATAGGACAAAGAACGGAATCGGATCATATGCCGTTGGAGGTGTATTTAGAAAAGGAAGTAGAAGTAGGAAATATAGAAAAAGAATAGAGGATAACAGCAAGGAGGGATTGGACTTAAGAATTGATCGATCAGTATGGAGAAGGATGTAAGGACTGAAAGTGGAAAGAAGAAGAGGTGGAAGGAAGATGGAAGGAACTGAAAGAAAGAATAGAGAGTGCGGTACCTAAGGTAGAAAAACAGTTTAAAGTGTGGAAATTGGGAGATAAAAAATGGTACGATAAAGAATGGAAAGAGAAAAAGAGAGATTTAAGAAGAGTAATAAAGATGTGGAGAAAGAAGAAAATAGAAAGGAGTTATTATATGGTTAAAAATGAGAGTACAGAAACTGGTGCGAAGCAAAAAGGAAAAGGTTTGAAAGATTAGAAGAAGAAAAGTTAAAAAACACAACATCGGAAGATAAAGTGTGGAAGTACATAAATAGGTTTAGAAAAAAAACGAAGGAATGAAATAGATGAAAAGATTACAGTGGAAGAGTGGAGAAGGTATTTTATGAAAAAGTTAGATGCGAAGGACGAAGAAGAAATCGGGAGAGAAGATACAAGAAAAGAAGAAGAAAAGAAAAATACAGAGAATCAGGAAGAGTTAAGCAAGGAAGACTTTGAATTCAAATTGCAAGGTTAAAAATAGGAAAAGCACCGGGAGAAGATAAGCTAGAAAACGAAGTATGGAAGTACATGCCTAGCAAAGTAAACGCAGCCCTTTGGGAACTGGTTAAGAAAATATGGTAAGAAGGAAAATTAACAGAGAAATGGAAACGAGAAGTGATATGCCTGATTCACAAAAAAGGTGGTAAAGATAAGTTAGAAAATTATAGAGGAGTTACATTAACGTGCACAGCATAAAAAATTTATGCAAGTTTGCTGAATGAGATGTTGAAGAAGGAAATTGAAGGTAAATCAGCAGAAAGTCAGTTTAAATTTAGAGAAAAGAGAGGAGTAATAGAAGCGATATACACACTGAAACACATTGTAGATGAAAAATTAAGCAAAACAAGAAGAAAAATATTTGCCTGTTTCATAGACTTAAAGGAAGCATTTGATAGAGTAGATAGACAGGGTTTAAAGGAAAGAATAATAGAGATGAAGGTGAGCGAAAAGCTAAGAAATAGGATTATGGATATCTATGAAGAAACTAGGAATGTAGTTAAAGTAGGGGAGGAGGAATCAAAGGAATTCTGGACAGAGAAAGGTGTAAGGCAAGAATGTCCACTAAGCCCAACGCTGTTTAATATGTATATAGTGGACTTGGAGCAGGAATTAAAGAGAGGGCAAGTGGGAGGATGCAGAGTTGGTAATGAAAAAATATGGAGTGTTTCTTACGCGGATAATATAGTATTAATGGCAGATAGAGAAGAAGAATTAAAAGAGATGCTAAAAAGATTTAAGAGGTACACCTGTAAAAAGAAAATAATTTGAAGAGAAAATTAGGGATTCAGACATAAAATTAGTTAAGGGATGTAGAAGAAAAAAGGATGAGGACAAAGAAAGATGAAAAATAGGAAAAAAATAAAAAAAAGAGCGGAATCGCTACGTGAACAAAATATAAAAGAAACAAGATTTATGAAAGGGGTGGAATTTAAAGAAGTAAGAGAAAAAATAACAAAGTACAAGGAAGAAAAGTAAAAGAGAAGAGAACCGAAAAGTTAAAGAATTTTCGGTACAACAAGGTATATAAAGATATAAGAACAGAGGAAGAACCA